CAGCCATCATAGCACGGGCGTGACGTCAAATGCATGGCATTGAAAAAACCAAACCAATGCGACTGCCACACAAGCAAAAGAACCCGCGCTCAGAATGTGCTGATGGATACTCAACGCAAGACTCTATTCAGAGTTTGCTTCCATCAAGACTGTGGCCAAGGCCTTGTGCTGGTCTACAATGGAGAGCTTTGCTCTGTGCTTGAATTCCCCACAGCCTTTTCTGTCCGAGCACAACGTTTCAAAACCAGACATATTAAGAAATACTGGGTATCTCACTGGAAGAAAGCGCTCGGGGTTGCTAAGCCCTCTCAGGGTCTCTAAGAATGGACCTATGGAATCCTATGGATATATGATATATGATACATCACTCAAAGCAAGTCTTCAAGCAGTCCGGGACCTCAAACTTCCCGCAATCGTTGCCTTGAAGTCGGCCACAGCAATGGCAGCCCGTGGCCAAGAAACAAGCTGGGCACAAGCAGTTGCTACCAAACAAATACCTTAGCCGTACAGGGATCGACTTTACAAAGAGGTCGTCATAAGATTGGGAGATCATCAAGCGCTTGCTACTAGTAGCGTCCTTGCTCCTAGTAGTACGGCCACTAGCCCCTAGTAGCGATGCCCTTGCCCCTAGTAGCGATGCCCTTGCTCCTAATGGGAGATGCAAAAAAGATGCCAAAGTGGATTCTGGATTGCCCACCACCGATCTCGGCCATGTAGGGTGATGTAGACCCGGTGCATCAAGTTCTGCAGTGGTGCCTCATAGTCATAATCGGCAGGGTAGTAATTCGTCACCAGACCTGGAGCTCAAGAGATCCCTGACATAGATCGATCATGGGGTTATGTAGCGCCCTTGATACTAGTAGCTTCTTGTTACTAGCAGCGATGGCCTCCAACCTACTTGCGATGGCCTCCACCTAATAGCGTCCTTGCTACTGGCTCAAAACTCCCATGGAACACCTGCCGCCCCAAAGATTTATCCACAATATTCAGTCATCCCGGCCTCTCATGACATGCATATCGAAGGTATAGCCACCCTCGCGTCGAGTCACCTCCTTCAACTGGATCTGTCGATTTTCCACTTCAAACGGCTCGATGGTGCGAATCCGGGTCTCGTCACATTCCTCATTTTCGAACCATTCGATGTCCTCTTTGATCAAAGACAAACCAAACAAGCAGACCTCAGGAGACACAGTCAAGATAAAACATGACAAAACAAGAAAAATATTTGGATGTATTTCCATGTCCACCGGCTTTCACATATTTGGCCCTCTATGCGGATGTCTGCTTGTCTGACTTCTTTCATTCAAATGCATATGCCCTGCAGGTCGAAAAGTCCCAATAAACCCGGGTCCATTGCCTGAGTAGGGTCTTTATGTGTGACCAGGCAATCCTACAGATCTTTGGGACCCTTCAAGGGTCCTTTCTGCCAAACGACTTGTACATCACCATACCTGAGATTTTGAATCTCGTCCAGAACTCGATTGAAGTCTACCATATCGTTTGCCTCACCGTCCGTCAAGGCCACAATCAGGAGGCTTTTCCTCACAAAGGTACTGGAAACCAATACGGAAAGAACACAAAGGTTCTTAAGCGAAACGAACTGAACCTATGCTGCTTATGCTCCTACACCATTTAGCTTTGAAACGTCAATCAAAGGGTTTGCTCAACACATCCAGGTTTCCCATTGGCAACTGGAGACAAGTCACGCAAGACTTGCCTTATTGTCTGGCTCATCGGGGTCGATCCACCTGACAGAGCAAATACGAGCGAAAACTCGTTCCGGAAAGTGATTGCAAGACAAAGAGGCCAACCCAGGCCCCAAGATGTAGATGACTCTTGTTATTTGCTGGTAGATCTGGATGATTCTAGGCACAACGAAGCCCTTGGGCCTTGGACTTGGGAATCCTTGAACCTCAAACAGCTTTGGACAGCTTGTGGCATCTTGCAGTTACACCACGAATCCCGGTGTGGGAGTTACGAATCCACACCTGCCATGGAGTGAAAGATCTGTTCCAGCTCTGAGAGGCGGCACCGTTTGCCACCATTGAGCATGTAGAGCCAGGGATCCATCTGCAAGATTGAAAACACCTGAGAGGACAGCAACCAAACAGCATCCAAATAGTACCCTACTAGCCGATATATATATATACTGTATATATATGTATATATGTATATATATATAAATATACACACTTATGTTATATTATACTACATATTCTCTATATGGGTCGTTTGTGTTTTGTCGTGAGCAGTTGCATTTTAGTCGATGTGAAGACAGCCATCTTTGTTTGATTTACGGTTTAGGGGACCTCAAAGTTGAGGTATTGGCAGGTACTGGGTAAAATCTGTGGTCTAGCCTAAGGACATAGTCCAGGGCCTAGAATGGGTCGGCCCCCCATCGGTTGTGCAGGTTTCATGCAGGTTTCCTATCTCACGTCCACCCTGTCTCAAACAACTTTTGTCTTCCCAGATTTAGTCGGATGCTCAGATTTGCTCATATGTTCATTTGCACTTTCGCTGTGATCCAGCTATCAAGCTGAGCTACCTGCTTCCAGCACCGCAAGTGGTGACGCGCAAAGAACCAGCGGCAATGATGAGGACTGATGGGGCACTCAGCCGGCCGTGGAGCAGTGTTGCTTGTGAACCAGCCACCTGCGGCTTGTGACGGCTTGTGGAATCCTTCGGACACGACTTGTTTCACAAAAACTAAGCAACCAGTAACCAATACTAGTTATTGTCTGACTTTGCCAATGTCAGCAATTGACGTTCCAACGGGCTATCTTCTAGTAGGTACTGTAGTTAACTCGCTCACGCCTGTTACTGTTTCTCAGGGATGCATTCTTGGGGTCAGCTGGGAAGAGCGGCTCTGAATATGTCTCTTCTTCCAGCGACTAGTTCTCTGTGTGGAAAGTACGCGTAATTGATAAAACCCTGCAAGACGAGCTCATCTGCTTCTCCCACTTGCACATTGAAAGTGAGCCCCACGTCTTTTGGTCGAGGACTTCACCTCCTTAAACGGGGACTCTATATATGGGCCCACTATCCACAGCCCCAGTACTGTAATTCAAACATCCGTGTTACTGTTACATAGGTGGGTTGTTCATGTGGGTGGATGTTATGTGGTTCTCTTTTTCATGTTTTTCTTCTCACCTGGCAAGGACTGCCGCAAGGCTTTCACCAATGCAATAGCATTCCAAGGAGTGGTCGCTGTGATGTCTCGGCGTGGGATACATTGGCCAAACCTGCGATTAGCCGGAGGAAAGAAGGAACCGGATGCTATCTCCGAGGGGTTCGGTGTCTTCTTCCGGAGATTTAGGATGTTCACCAAGTGACTTTGGACTCTAGGCCCTTCAGATTTCTGGTGAAATTCACACCCAAACTCTTCAATGGCGCCTGGGTGACACTTGTGCAAGGGCTAAAAGTGATAAGGGAGCCATCAGCGACATGATGCAACATGACCATGCGACATGGGGTAGCCATAGAAACAGACGCCTTTTAGAAACAAACCCAGTTGGTCTGCCTCAAGTTCTCCCTCAAACCCTTCGCTCTTGTGTCCAGGAGGCATGTCCAGGTTCATTGAACCACTGTCATCCAGCACGAATGCAATCTCCAGGTCGTAGATCAAAGGCGTTAACATGTCGCGGGCCAAACTATGAGCGTGGTCAGTGCCCTGCAGAATCACTTCCAGTTGCCTTACCATGACCTTTTCCTCCTCTGAGAACCAGGAGTCATCTAAGAACCTCATGAAACTTTCACCAAATCAAACGTTGGTCCAAGTTTGTCCAAGCATCCATGAGAAGCCGAAGACTAGCGAATGAAGCAACTTTGACGTGGTTCACCCTTAATCTTACGCCGTTTTGATTCTCATAAACTCATACAGTATCTCTTTACACAAAAACACATCACGTATTCAACAACCCTGAACCTGGGTGGATAAAGTCCAGATCCACTCACCATCTGATCCATGAAAATCTTGGGCTTTCGATGCATCCTCCAGGCTTGGGCAAATGCTTAAACACACACACTGCCAAAAAGAGAACCCTTCAATAGAGCTGCAAACATCTGCCCTTCAAGGGTCGGGTCACCCTCCATTCCGGTTATCAAATACATCACAATTTGGTTTGCTTGTCGAATCACTTCCAACATGGAACACAACACCACAGGTCCTCCATTCACGCTTTTGACCCCAATCACGCAACAGTTTCCGCCGCTCAACGGCCCAATCTTCTCCCGATCGGAGCCCATTTTCCGGGATCTCCACACCGCTCCGTTGCCGCTCCATCCCTGCCGTCTCCGGTAGTTCCTGGTAGATGCTTTGGGGTCCAATCTCCCAAGGCGCCAATGGAGGAGCAGAAGGAATCATATCAACGTGGTCCAAAAGAGGCGCAGTCAACGAATTCCCCTTAGATCACGCTTTCCTCTGGGCAAAGTATTGTCTACAAGCTTGGTCGCCGACGCGGCCTGATGGTGAGCTATGGCTATAACTATTTAAAATGTTTTGATTGAAAGGAACAGGCCTAGACGAACAATATGGTCATTCTTAGAGTAAGTCAGGCAAAATGAGAAACCCTCGTCAGCCCTCGTCGTACACTAGCCTGGGCCATTCACTCTGAAAGTGAGTGACAGCTCTTTTGAGGTGAACACATGTTTGCTGGCTGGGGAACTCTACTGCACTTGAGAAATGCCAGGCTGCTGGTTCAGGTTAGACAAATGGAGATGGAATCAATGATGGCAAGTTGCTGTCATCATCTCTTCTTGTGGAGGCTTGGAGATGGGAGCAGGAGCTGCAGCCATCGACGAAAGTGCAGCACAAAGGGCATAGTTCCTAATCGTAGTGGAGGTGGGCTCATGTGGGAAAACAAAGACATTGCATGAACTAAGTCATCCAGCTACCATTCCAAATTACACCAATGCCGACCTCCACATTCAGTTCCACAAGTGGTCACCCAAAGGTCTGAAAGAATGAAAGGGGAGGGGGTAGGAAGCTAGTAGTAACAAGTGCATCGCTAGTAGTAACAAATGCCTTACTAGTAGTAACAATAAGCTATTAGAATTAAATCAAAGTAAATTAACAGCTTCTTGTTACTACTAGTAAGGCACCTGTTACTGCATGCAACTGTTCGGATTCTGTTCTTGGTGCGGATTTGTGTTCTTCAAGCGTCGTGCGCACGTCCGATGCTGCAGTTGTCTCTCGGCAGAGAGGGCACTCAACTTGTTGGGCATCACTTCCCAGCAAAGTCACACAGGAGTCGCAAATGGTATGGCCACATGCAAAGACTTTTGGAAGATGAAGGCCAGATTCAGTGAAGTTGCTGAAGCACACAGGACACTCCATCTTGTACCCCAGGGAGCCCAGTTGCCTCAGTCTACACCATCAAGACTATAGTTAAAACCAGTCTCACTGGATCTCACTGGACTCCCTGGGCGGGAGAGGCCACCAGGCCGACCTAAAATGGCGGCTTGGACCAAAATGCACAGGTCGCAGGGTGACGGATCCTATGAGCAAAATGGGACATGCTGGTTGACCATCGAGAAGGAACAGAATAGACTACGTACCTGGGAGGTCAACCTGCCTTGGTTTGGGGCTCCTGGTTTTGACCCACAGCCAAATATCGCATTGGATGGAGCCCAAGAGCTCCTGTGCTGGACTGTTAGGTTTGTCGGCAAGGACATTCCTTTCAACTTTCGGGATCCATTTTGGCAGCAAGGCTTGGACGCCTTTCTATTTTGCATTGGATTCCACTCTTATTTGGAAGGGCCTTTGTGCCGAGAGGTTTTCGAGTCGAAATCATATATCATCATATCGCTTGACTCAACGTTCCCCTTTCTGAAGGGGCAACCTTATCGCTAAACCCCAACTGTGCCATACCGCTGACGCAGCTCGAACTCGCCCAGCTCTGGGCCTGGTTGTACTGCCGAGTTCTCACCGCGTCGCGGATCGCAACTCGGAAGATGCCAAGCTCCTTCTCCTGCTCGGGCCTCGGAAACCAGGTGTGGGATGACCCGGTTCGACAGCTCAGCACTCAGCTGCAAAGAAGCTTGGACGGCTGTAATTTCCTGTATCTTCTTTGGATGGTTGTATTCAATGTGGTGATACTGAAATATATTTCAGTAAGCTCACACATGGTTTGCAGGAAGTTGGTGCTCCTTGCGTGGTATCCCATGCTGGCAAACTCCAGGAGGTGCTTTAGGCTTGCTTTGGGTGATGTTGGGATTGGTTTGTTGCAGTTGACTGCAGCTGAAGTATAAACTCCTCCTGACGCACCTGTCGTCGCCTTTGGGAGATTAAACTGAAACAAAACTTTCGCTTAAGCTGGACAATGTCGTAAGCTGCAAAAATGTATATGCGAGGAACTAGTCCAGGAATGCAGCTTGGCAGCTGGACTTGCCATGGGGTTGACTGCTCATTTGGCAAACAAAAGCTCATCCATGGCTCTTGTCCAACAGCGGCGCCTTTGAAACAGTCAAATCAAAGAGATGCAACTCAGGTCACAACGATGGAACCTTAAGCGGCCCTTTGGGCGCAAATGCCTTCTCAGGCGTCTCCTGGTGCCGTAGGATCGAAGAAACTAAAAACAGAAAGGCTTGGTAAAAAGGTAGTTTAGCTAATTGACATGATCTTGCTGCTTTAGGAGCCCTTCTCCAATAATCACAACCATTGTGCCAAACCATCACACCTTCCTCATAGCACACCGGGAATGGAACACCGGTAAACCATGGTAAACCTCTCCTTGTGGCGATCCAGGGTCGGTTCAGGGTTGTGAGTTGGAACGATCTGGAAAGGTTTAATTTATGCCATCAACCTGTAGGAAAAACATACAAACGATGCCCATCGGGCTCTCAACAAGAACCTGTGCCACTAACAACGAAGGAACATGCTACATGGCATTTCTTCCAGGCCACTCGGCCACCAGGTTCAAAAATTGTTCCAATGCAAACTGAAAGAGCAAAGGCAGCAAAGCCTTCAAATCCGTTTCATATTCTGCAATTTTGCCAGCCAAGCTGCCTTGGAACCTGTGGAAACACACATGGAACTAGATTGCACCAGCAATGAAACAACATGAGACCCTTGTCACTGTTGCCCCATGAGCCGCAATTCCAACCAGATCGAAACCCGAGTGCCTGTGGAGCCTCTGTGACTTTGGGCGGCGGGCTTTTGAAGAAGCCTCAGCAGAATAGAACCCCCTGTTCCCAAGGTTTAACAAAAGCGGCAAAAGAATGGACACCCAGGCAATTCCCGGTTCAACAGCGGATCAACTCATGGGCTGCAGTGCCAGCCATTGGATCTTGGCAAATTCATGACCGTTGAACAGGTTAGACGATGCTCAGCGGCTCAAGGATTCGGTTGCGGTCACAACTTCGTGTGGTTTTCTGGACTGGTTGCCTACGCCTATTGGCGCCCTTGCCAATAGACGCTTAGCTAGTCCCAGCCTTTGGTCATCAAAGAGCCCTTTCTTGGCGACGCCTGGCTTCGAAAAAAAACGTGTACCAAAACTATTCAGTTAAAATGTAATGTCTTGCTAGAAAGCAAAAGATAAAGCCAGATTTCAGGCGTTGCTTGAACGCTCAGCATTTTCTGGAATGTGCAGTCACTCTGTCTTGCTTGAACAAAAGGCTAGGCCCTATAGGCATAACTCTAGGCATACTATGCCGAAATACTTGCCGAAATCCTCTCAAGGAGACCCTCCTGTGAAATGGAAACCAAGTCAGGCAGTCACCCACCATGCCATGTGTGGTTGAATATCAAGCCCTTCATCTGCAGTTTCTGCAAAAACAAATTCATCGTTGAGAGGATGTCGCGAGTCTTCTGCAAAGCCTCTGCAAACGACATGTCGTGAAAGCTCGAAGCCAACGAGGGCATCACATTGAGCATGACAGACTCATTGTCTGCTGACTTCTTCCAAGATGCCATCAGCTTCTTGCACAAATCTGCTTGGCTTTGCCCGGCGAGCCAATGACGCCCAGCTGTGACACCAGCCATCGCAAGGGCTGCCTGCACCACATTCAGGTCAAGGTCAGAAGACAAGAGATTCCAGCAAGTCCCACCGGCTGCCACCACAGTCGCCGCAGCAATGACAGACTGACATGTTTCAAGCCGGGGCGTATTGCTTTCTTGGATTCTCTCATTCAAGATCTTCTGCACCTTTCTTCGTTCGTCTG